GAGAGAGAGAGAGAGAGAGAGAGAGAGAGAGAGAGAGAGAGAGAGAGAGAGAGAGAGAGAGAGAGAGAGAGAGAGAGATGGTTGGATGAAAGTATTTTCATGACAAACCCTACCATTGGCTGCTTTTGAAGCTTCATCCCGGCTTCAGCTGGGGTTTTATCTCCTTTCCTCGTATTACACCTCTGGCATGCGGTTACCTGTCCGACATCACAAAGCGAAAGTGATGCCTCCTTTCGATCAAACTCTGACTAATCATAAAGTGGAAGATCAAAATTCATCAACTTCCTGTTCCTATGATATTGTTCTACAAAAGTCCTTCGGGACATCCGTTAAAATTGGAACGATACAGAGAAGATTATCATGGCCCCTGCGCAAGGATGACACGCATAAATCGAGAAATGGTCCAAATTAAAAAAAAAAAAAAAAGAAAAGAAAAAAAAGATATTGTTCTAATACAGTAATACTTCACATTATACATTCTACCCTTTGGTCCCTTTCCTATTAGATATTCCTAAGACGAAGCATTTTGGAGCTAGGAATTCTAAGATGTCCTCGACTTTCAAGAAGCAACGAGGCAAAGGAGGGGACAACATGTTACGGACTTCGCCAGGGCTCGATCGCTGGTCTATCTTTTGCTGTTTCGGCTGCATCCCGTTTTCAGCCTGGCACCCTTTTTCCAAACCCCTCCTTTGGTACCGTAGGATTTTGGACAACTGGCGCCATGCTGCAATTCGGGCGCCACTTTCAAATACTGCATTTTTCAGTTCTGCCCTCGGGGCCTTTGCAGAAATGCCCCTAGTACCGTACGTGTCACCGGTACTTATACCGGCTCCCCGTACGGTACGGGGACCAGTCTCGTACCAGTTCTCTGCTACTGTACTCGTACTCAGTGTGACTTGCTGTTTCGGCATTCAGGATCCAAGACTTTGACTTTGTGCCTTGCCACTGTGTCTGCGTCCGACCCTCAGTCCGAGTCCGTCGTGTCGAGTGAGTGAGTGTGTGTGTGTGCTCTCACTCTCTCCCTCTCTCTCCTCTCCCTCGGCTCACCCTGAGCCTCACCCTCGTTACACTGGTATCGGAGCGGTTCCAACCCGCCCGACCCACCCTGCTTCGACGTCGTCACCTGGCCATCATCAACATCATCGTCGAGATCGTTGCCGCCGTGCCACGTCATCATCGTCATCATCGTGATCGTCGTCATTGTGCCCCGTCATCATCATCACGGACGGGATCGCCGCCGTCGCGCCACGTCATCACCACCATGCCTGTCGTCCTCGTCGCTGCGCCGCGCCGTCCTTGTCATCGCTGTCGCGCAGATAAGTAATCAACGACAATTTTTTATTTATTTATTATTATTATAATTATTTTTCCTTCTTATCTTTCTTCCTCGTTTCTTTTCTTCTTCTTCTTCTTCTTCTTCTTCTTCTTCTTCTTCTTCTCCCTCCTACTCCCCGATCCTGTCCCGCCGATTCCCGACTTCCCCCTCCCGAGACATTTCCCCCCCCAAGACATTCCTCCCCCCCGATTTCCCCCGTGCGCAACCCCCCTGCGCGACTTCCCCCCCATCCCGATACCTTCCCGCTCCCG